CAAGTGGTAGTGTTGGCGAAGTAAAGCAAGTTAGTGAAGTGAAGTGAAGGTGTAGTGCAGAGTGCAGTGTCGTGTATTATTAGTGTTAAATAATTCAGTGCAAAGATGTATAAAATTATAGTATGATCGCTGTTATTGTATTATTGGCCTGCTTAAAAATGCTTAAAGATAAGGGAAGAACTACTTTTCTTAGTTGTAATATGATTGATAAATTGTAGTGTTCTCCTTTTTAAAGGAGTAATCTTTCATTAACATTATCTGTCATTTTAATATCACGTGTCGTCGCAGTCAGTTGTCAAGAGCACAGCCAGGTAGCATCTGCGCGTTCGCGCCTCCTACTACGCTCTCCTGTGTCACTACCCAGCGTCCAGACGTTGGAAGGAATTAGGATAGAGATGGGGTTTAGGATTATTTACAGGGGTTGGAGTAGCCCCGATGAAGCATACACACTCATTTTGTCGTAACAAATTTCTCATCAGGTTCTACGGGGATTCAATGGGTATCAAACCTGGAACCTCAGTGGCGAAAGACAAGCGACCTCGCCACAGGCACGAAAGCACGTTTTTAATTTTTTTTATAAAACGAGAAATACCCGAAAATGGGACTACAGCCATATTTTTTACCGTTCATTATTGCAACAGTGAAGACAACTTTAAGAAAAAAATGGTAGTGATTTCTGAGAAATTTCTTTTTGCAAATTTCAATCGCAATATAGGCAAAAACTGCTGTATTTTTCAAAAAATTGTACATTATCTTTTTTACAGAGCTAATTTTGTACAACAGACTTTGTCAAAACACTGACAAAGAGACTGTAATGAGACAAAAATCATCTCCAATTATGAAGTTTTAATTTTTTTTAATTTTCGAAAAATCGGGAATGTTAAAAAAAGAAACATGTAATATTCTCTTAAACGTCTTTTGCATTATTAAACAACAAAATGTAATCAAAATGTGGAGCTATTTTTTCGAAAATGTCCCAGGGGCGTCATGTAAAGTATCCCCGAAAGTTAAAATATCGATTTGAAATTCCAGGGTCCGTGACATCAGCTAGAATTATTGGGAGATATCAATTTTGGAGAAAATCGGCTCAACGGTTTATGTGCTAGCGTTGGGCACCGACGGACGGACGGACAGAGACGTTCTGCCGTCAATCGAATTTTCGGTATTAAGGACCAACAAAACATGGATTCTGGCTACACCACGTGTTGGAGGATTTTTTTTCTAACTTTGGCAACTGGATTTATACATTTTTTTCTTTACCAAGGCCCGGCAATAAGAGTTTTTGTGTCGAAAATTCATTTTCCAGCGCATGATTGCAATGCTTTCTTTTCTTACGTTAGTTAGTATGCGAATACGCTAAATTATTATCTGCTGTGTTACATTACTACATAAACCTGCAAAAGAGTTTTGTCAATACCGCATCCACCTATCCTTCGCCTGCTCCATAGCTGTCCCTCATCATTTCCCCATCTGACCTCGCATTTCCCCCACCCACTTTCCAAAATACATACGGTCAGAACTCGCCTATCCTAAAAAAAACGTCATGTTCCAAAGGGACACGTTTGATATTATTTTGCAGTGTTCCTCCTACTTCAATATTTGTTAATGGCCGTGTAGGCCAACACGGACCACGTATGCGTCCTGATTGAGAGAGTGCAAGTGGGGGGAGGGGGGGCAGCATTTTAACTGAATATCAATTTTTATCCTCCAAAGTTCTTAACCCTGGGGATATGGTCGATGAGATGATGATGATGATGATGATGATGGTGAGAGATGAAAGACCGGTACACACATATATTACTCGCGAAAGTTTTCTTGATACACGAACTCCCTACTCCTCACCCAGCGCTGAATAGCATGGCCCGTTGAGATACTTAGGTTCGACTCGGAACGGCTCGTACTAATTTACAATGCTGGCAACAATCACCTCTACTTTCAAAACAATCGTAGCATTTTTCGTGGCACACTTTGGCGAGTTACGTTCATGCCCATTTGGTACGCCCTTTTAAGCCGTGACCTAGCCAGAGGCGGGACTCGACCCCGCGGTCTTCTGGTTCGAGACCTTTACTACAAAACTGCCCTAACAATCTTGGCCATCTGACCGGCCTCCTTTAATATTGAAGTTAATTTTTTTTCTCCCGATGATTTTTTCTCTTATTCTTTAATTAATGTCAGCAACATGTCTTTGAACATATTAGTGGTTTTCGCGGAATTTCGAGTTCAATATAGGAAATATCAAAAACAAGATTTTCTCAAAAATGGCCAAATTTTTACATTCTCGCTTTGTACGAATACCTACAATATAGAGAAAGTACTGTATTGTAATGCTATCATAAACTAGTGGTACTGCAACAGTATATACTTGTTTCCCGCATTATTTCTAACATTTGCAATTTTCGAAAATTCAGAAAATTTAATGGAAATGAGATCTGTGCCATTCTTCTCTCGTTCTAGTCTTGAAAAATAAATTAAACAATTTGAGCCGTTTTTGATAATTGTTTTGTATGAATTGGATTAACTTCGAAGAGAAATTACGCGAAAACTACATTTTTTACGTTCTCACGCTTAAAAAAAACTTCTTAAGAAGCGAAAGTTATGCAATGCTGGGCGAAAAAAACGGTGAATTATATTATTACAGGGCCCTAGTTACGAAAAAGTGGATAAATCCAGTTTCTAAATTTAGAAAAAAAACTCTAACTCCTGGTGTAGCCAGAATCCCTGTTTTGTGGGTCCTTGATACCGAAAAATCGATTGACGGCAAAACGTCTGTCCATTCGTCTATTTGTGAACAACGCTAGCGAATGAACCGTTCAGCCGATTTTCTCCAAAACTGATATTTCCCAATCAGTCTGCCTGATGTCACAGACCCTTGGATTTAAAAT